TGTTGTTTTATCGTATTTGTTTTAAAGGCTTTCATGAGAAGCATAACCCACATTGTTATATGTGTTAATTTGTATATTAGGATCAAAAGCTTATAACATGGAGCTTTAAATGATCAACCATGGCCACTGAAGACTTACTGTAATCATCTCCTTCAAGTACAATGTTTAATGGGTACAAAACTACTCTGGAAGGAATATGATATTATATACAAGAAGTATCCCTTAAATCATCAATTATCCATTTCAATATGCACTTATTTACTGAGGTTTGGCCCTCTGAACTGGTTACTGTATACGTTGAGGAAAATAGGTTTTGGCCCATAATGTCCACCATACACTTTTACTGTACAGAACAGGCATCTTAAGAAAAGCCCCCTCACCAACAGCAGAGCAGCGCCACCTCTTGTTCACAAACCCGATCAGCAGGCCGGCTGGGGAAAACGGGGACAAGAATGTGTGCTTGTTTTCCAGGCGCCTAATTATAAAGGAGAATGTGCTTTAAGCAGCAGGCCACCAGATGAGGAGGAAGACAGGCCAAATCAAGCACTCTCTCTGTAATTATGCTTCACAGGCACTTGGCACAACGCGCAAGATTTCGCACTTCTCAGAGTGGGCACAGGCCAGCGGACAAAGGAGGGGAGCAGCAAAGTTTTTCCACTCTGAGCCAACTAATTGCCTCATTATTTCCCAATAAGTCATTTGGAAGCATTTTTTTCTAAGGCTAACACCTTGGACACATGCACAGCACACAATCAGAGGGCAGAGGATATTAAAGCCAGTCAAGCAACAAACAAGAACAACAACAGAGACAGCTGTGCCTTGTCAGCTTCAATAATAAAAGTCTGAAATATTAGATTGCGAAACAGATGTAGGATCTAAAAGAGTGTCGAACTGTGAGTTAGATAATTGACTTGATCCTGATTAAACTTGAATGATAAAAATGCTTCATGGAACAAACTAAATAAATGTGTAGTTTTTGACTAAAAACATTTGTAAATGTACTTTTATGCACTTGTATTTGTATTGTTTAATGTATTAACCAACCCTAAACTGAAGTTCTTATATAAACTGAATAGCATGCTTTATTTTTTATATCACTGTAGTAAACAAAAACCTAACTTTTTACCTGTACACAGAGGTAACTTAAACGAGTCCTTTGTCAGAACTTCTCTCTTCTTAAACACAACTCAATACTACAAAACTACATTAACTTTCACATAACTATAGGGATTTTTCTATAAAGTAAAAATTACATTACTTTATGAAACACAAAAGTTAATGATGCACTAATTAAACAGTCACTGTCTGGGATTGGCCATCAATTGTCACACAAATTACTCAAACAGAAGAAGTTCAATTTTTCCATTCCGAAAAATTTATCATACAGTAGCTAATAAATAGAGACAAATAAATGTTTTCATAGCTTTATCCACAATGTCATCACCATCTCCAGCTTCAGGTAGTTCTTGTTATTGTCTTCCCCCACATGAGCTAGAGGTGGAGCTGTTGATTGTGGTGAAACTGATGGCAGTGTTGAGCATGCTGGTGGTGTATTGTACGGTAGACCAACACTCATGGGATTGGATATGATTTAAATACAGTAATATATAAATATAATAAGATTGTATTCTGTTTCTGACGTGTTATACTTGTTACAACCATGAAGCAAAGTCAAAGCCCAAATCTATGCATCACAATCAAAAGCAACACAGACTCTAATAAACTTCTACAGAAGTGTATGCGATACTTTATTCTAGCCAGTGACACAAGTCTGTCTTTAAAGTTACTTCTTACTTTTCCAGATGTTCAGATTCGCGAGACAACTGTTTTTTAAACAATAAAAGATAATTGATTACACAAGTTGTTTTCAGCATGTGTTATATAGGCATTACATGGATTAGTGATCGATATCAACATCATATGTCTCTATGATGAGGCAGCTGCATGTCTAAATTTCATTATGTTGGCAATTTAAGATGAATGGAATCCCCTTAATAGTTATAATGACTTTTAATTACTTGGTATGACACAAGTGTGAGAATATGAGATACTAAACTATTTGATTTTATATTATTGTGAAATGGTTAATGACATATAAAGCTATAAAAAAAAGAGACGCATATTCACCAATGAAAAAAGTGTTCTGTTTGTTCACAACTGGTCAGTTAATTAATATTAGACCAATAACAACACTGATTGAAAAAGGCGGTTCAGGCAGATGTATGTACATACATATGAATTACATCATTATTAGAGAAATCCAACGGTTGTTAAAGTGATAAATGAAACATGTGAGACAGTAACTAGGTTTAAGTAGAACTGAGCTGTGTTGTCAGGCGAATTGAAACCAGCTGATGATTAATCAATGTCTCCATCGTCATTGGCTCGTGCTGACTGCAAGTCAACTCACGACGGTTCAGAGGCAGCTCTGCGCGCGGGCCTCGCGCTGCAATAATGTTGCACGAGCGACCCGACAAGAGCGTAAAGAAACTGTCTCAGCTCCCCGTCGGCGCTTCAGTGCGGCTCTGCGGGTGTTGCAGCGGTCTAATGGGTGACACAGCGTTGGTACACTATTGCAGGCGGTGAACAAGCAACTGTAATATCCACACAGAAACATCAACAACCGCCACACCTAGCAACAGGGTTGTCAGGACGCAGGAAGTAACTTGCTAGCTCGCTAATTTAGCCACTCCTGCTAGCTGCAAACCTCGGCCATTGCTCGCTGCGGCGCTCGTTACTTATCGGCACTTACCGATGTGGTTATCCTCGATGTGCACGATGAGCTCGGCCAGAGAGTCGAAGTGAAGTCCGCAGCCCCCGAACCTGCAAACGTTGGAGAAGAAAGAAGCAGCGGCGATGCCTGTCATGGTCGCTGCTGCATTGGAAATGAGGGCAGGCAGGCAGCAGCGAGCAGCGGAGGAACAGCAGGCGGACAGCGGTGAGAACAGCTGGAGCGGCAGGGGCGGTGCGGCGACTTCTCCGAGCTGCGTCAAACCAGCTGGAGAGCGACGGCGAGACCGGAAGTATGGTGTGTTGGCTTTCATTAGAAAAGCATAAATAGTTTTTTTTTTAAAGAAATGTGTATCTAAGCAGCCACAGATTTAACACACACATGCAGCACAATATGTATAATTATTCTGAATGTGTATAACTAGATTAATATGTATCTTAAAGTTGCAACCAACACGGAAACATATTTTTCTGCTACCAATAACGATAAATATCGATTAATCTATAATTTTAATGAATGGAGCTAAGTACCAGTGCACAGCATGCGAAGCAGTAACCAGCAAATAACTTTATATACAGTAACGAAATATCTCCACTATAGTTGTCTAAAGCTCTAAATGCCCCTCAGCATCCACGCTGTTTAGCTGCAATCATTTTAATTATGAAATACCTATATACAATCTTGTTTTAAACATGTTTAGTGATTGTATTGTTTATCAGGACATAATTAATTACAATAATAAATGGACAGAAATTATATAATGAAGGTTAAAGTGTAGTGTAGTAGCTATGTTATTACAGTATGATCCATGGTAATGATACAATAGACCAAATAGGTTTCAGCAAAGGCACAGTTTACACACTTAAAGTCATTTTAAAGTTTTATTTCTGCCATTCTTTGGGGAAGCTGTTGTTTTTTTATTTCACCTAACTTGACGAATCTAGTTAGTACAGTTGGATGGATGGGTCATCAGTTGGTAATCGGCACCATTACTACAAACTATGTGCTGAATCTTTTTTTATTTTTTTATTTTTTGCTTCCTGTGTCTTTAACTGTTCAACTTGCCTTCCATGCGTGTCTTCTTATTCTTAACAGAATAAAGTGTTTGTGTTCATCTGAATCGTCAGGATTTATTTAAATTTAAATCCACGCTATAAAATTAAATAACTACTTTATTGACAAATTTGCCATCATCAGTAATTATTTTAGTGGTGGATGTTAGTGATATAATGGATCGACAAGTAGCTGCAACACATCTTATTGCCACTGTGTGGCAGTATTGGTCAGTACATAAATATGAGTTTGTTCTTCATCTGCAGTCATTTAAGAGTCTTCATCACAGACCTTACCACGAGTGTTGTTGCATACATCATGCTAATAAGTACACATAGAGAGTATCAGTACCACATAGGTTTTAAATACAAATTGCTTCAAACTTCTGTCTGATGTTCTACATTTAGTACCATCTAGATTATTTAATGCATTGTGCGTTGCAATTTAAGTTTGTTTATCAGTTGTTTCAGGTAGAGACAGGCTAGAAAAGAACACATGTTGCCATTTTTATATAGTCTGTGTCCTCACTCATAAAATGTGGCCATTTTCCTATGGATCCAATTATGTATGGAATCACATTATTTTTATTTAGGTCACAGAAAGTAAACAACTCCAGCTTGTGTTTGCAAATTCTACTTAGAGCAAGCGATATGAATGATTTTATGTCTTGTTATTAAAAAATCTGTTTTTTTTTAACCTATTTTCAGTGGATGAGACAGAGTGATGCAATCACTTGCAAGACAAAAATTGAGGTCTTCATAAGGTACATGTAAGAATACATATCCCTGGTATGTGGCCATGAATATTAATCTCGTGTTCATCTATGATCTATGGAAATGTAGAATATTTTAGTAGAGGTGCAAATCTTCTGCAGAAATCCATTTTGTACAGTACAGTAATAAGATTTACTGACTTTAACTTCCTCCAGTTACTTACTTTTTTCATTTATTGAGTAACTTTGAGTTTGTGCCTGGTAATGGTGTAATGGGTCATCACTGGGCCCAGCCCTTTTCAGAAAACTAGTTCCAGTTATGCCTGAGAACACTGTGGGATATTACTTCGAAAACATTACGTCATGCACAGCCTCTTATTTAAAGGAAGCTGATGGCTTTGGTTTTAAAATGCTGGTATTACCTATCCACAGCTATTTATTGATGGTTGTGCTTGATGAGCATAGCTACAGCTAATCATTACTCTTCATTTTGTTACAGCCCATAAATGTAGATGAGGTAATAGATGTGTTGTGATTTTCTGCACTAGAGATTCACTGTGTAGGTTTAACCTCAATGTGGAAACATATGCAGACAAAGACACACAGCAGCTATAAGTGACTGATGTGAAACAGAATTGTCAACTCAACAATCAGTCAACTCGATGGAGTGGGAAGATTTGAAAGTCTAGCGAGGTAAGTGACTAAACCCTGTTTGCTCTCTGTGAACTACCTAACAAATTCAAGCTCAACAACAAGATAATTAGCTCAGTTAGTTATATGCACCACATACTACAATAAAGAGAGGCACCTAAATTCTTCTGGCCTTTTTAATTTAACACTTAGCTGACCTTTTCCAACGTATATTATTTTAAATCTGATGTTAATGAAATACAATTCAAATGTCTTGAAACATAGCAGAAACCAGCTCATAAACTCCCCTGAGAATTTATTTCAAGCTCAAATGATCCATGTGTTTATTTATGAATTTGTATTTCGTAGAGCATTAATAAAACAGAAGGTTTTGCAAGCCAAGGTAAATTATAATGGAAGAAATAACACAATGGCAGTACTGTTCAACAACCTAATCCAAAATATTAATTATACAATGTAGTAATATAAATAAAAATTAAGACTTAAAAATGAAAGATGTTAAGTTATTGTTTTCCAAACCCAGCCAGGGAACATTTATAAATGGCTTTACAAATGACCTGAATAATCCAGTTTGAGGACACACAGAAGCCCAGTTCAGATGTCAAAGGAATGATATACTCACCCACAAATGCTGAGCACAGAGGACATCATCCTACACTGTTATAAATCTGAAGGGTCATCACACAGGCAGCACCATTCACCAGCCACCTAATGTAAATGTTACTGGCTCGAGTGTTTGAGTGCAGGAATGTCACCGGGGGTTATCTACTCGGACCCTCCCAGCACATACGTTTTGTTGAATTAGGCTCTCAGTTCCAATATAACGCTCTACAGTGATGTTCGCTGTCCCAGGACCCAAGTCTGTCCTGCACTGGTGCTCTTTGGTCAGTTGACCATTCTTTTCAAAAAAGCGAAGATCCAAAGTCGTAAGATGAGGCTGTAACAAATATTTATTGTTTCAACAAATGCATATACTGGACAGAGTACCCCCCTCTAATAAATTGCAAAACAATCCCACTTCCCTATACAAAATTTTAACTACCCTACTGCTGTTTTGCAGTGTAAGCAACTTTAATTTCTCACAGATGTCATCAACACGTAGAGCAGAGAATGACAAATTATGAAAGTTCTCTTTATGAGTAACATCTTTGCATGTTACTCATAAAGTGAACTTTGATAAATAATGTCGACATGTCAAACTTTGGTAGTCCTGTTACAAGTGTGGAGGGCTCACTCGTGCAATGTTTTTAAGCAGTCTGGCTGACACCTCTGGTTTTAGTGTCTGGTAATCTTAGTTTTATCTTAGAAATGGTGGCCACATTATCCCCTGGCTATCTCACAACTGGGAGAAGAGCTGTTCTTACATTGTCACAGGCCATCACCCCTCCACAAAGCACATTTGTTAATGGAAACAGAGGTTTCCAGCTTGACACTTGCGGTTGGTTGTTTTTATAGTTTGCAAATGATCTTAATATACCCAGAATACATAAATAATTAGTCTTGCTTAAAGTAGTTTATTTCATAATCATTGTCACAGTATCTTTGTGAAACCATGATGTCTTTAATTTTCAGTCACAGAAATAACTCCACCAGTGAACGCTACATCAGGTTGCAGGCTATCAAAATAGTCTTATAAGCGGAAGATCGGTTGCCTCTAACTGTTGCTAACTGAAAACTTTTTGTTGGGAATACTGAAGAATTCAATATAGAAAAATTAAAATGGAACTTGGACTGTATTCATTGGTAAGACAAGCTTGATGGTCACGGTGAGTGATCTCTTTTATGAACAAAACCAAATTTATTCCAGATTTCTCTGTCACTCCTTTTCTTAATCCTGAATAAATTGGAGATGTAGTTTGCAGGAACTTTGTCAAAATTCAAAAATGTATGCTGTTTGTTTCTTTACCTCAGCTTTACACTTAAGATAAGTAAAAATGTTTGTAAGGAATGAAGACAGCAAAAACACTGAATGTACCATCAGTTTAAATAGCCATCTTGTCATGTGGAATGCCATGCAGTTAACATTTCCATCCCTGCAGGCACAATCATCTCTGCTTAAGGTATGGAGAGCAGGAAACAATGTTTTACAGTAACTTTCCATTTAACATCTGCTTTTCATCTTTGGTTGAAGTAAAATATTTCTGAAGGTGTTTTATATTTTGTTTACAAATTGAAAGTCTGTTTGACACATTTTTATTTAGCTGTTTTCACCTTTTGCACCTGCTGCACCGAAGCACCCTCACTGGTGCTAATCTTCCCAAGGTGATCTTACTCAAAAGCATTGCACAAAGGCATAATAATAAAAGGTTTAGTATAATATAGATCAAATCTGCTTTAGTGTGGGTCACTGACCCAAACTGTATCGGCTCTTTCCAACCTTAATAGTCTGCTCCTCTGGGAGCATAATGTTTGGATTGGTTGGGAAATATATTGGCAATAAAGAGACAAAAGGATGTCATAAACGTTGATTAAAGCTCTGGTTAAAAGACAGAGGCGGAGAAGCTCTGAGTTATGAGAGCTTTCCAGACTGCGTTATTGTTTCAGTGACAGAGCTCTTAGTGCGTCTAGTGGAGTGGTCGCAGGCGAGTGGTAAACATTTCTCAATGTGTGAGGAGTCATTAATCCCTGGAGCCGAGGATGGCTTCACTATCTGTGTCTGTGGCCCAAGAAATCACAGCCAGTTGGCACCAGCAGGTCACACAGAGCTCCAACATAAATGCTTTGTACTTCAAAGCTGTTTAAATCTATTCTAATGTGCTGTATGCTATAAGCACACACTTCAGACAAGACTGTGGGGAACGACTATGTGTTTTGCACGTTCACTTCATTTGCAAGCGAGGCTGTTGATGATGCATGTTAGCTCTGCCAGCTTACAGTGAAAAATAAGTTTAGTTCAATTTGAGAAAAAAGTAAACGTTTGAGGAAAGATCAGAAAAGAAGGCAGTAGCAAACAAAACGAGCTGTTCGGGCTCTGACAGTGAAGTCTGATGATAATATGTAGCTTTGATGCTTTGAAATATGAAAACTGTCACCATGGCTTGGTTACCAACTTCTTAGTATACAACTGTGCAAGGCCCACAGAAGGTAAACGTCCCTGAAAGCTCCAGACTTTCTGGTTTTTGCTAATTTATAACTGAATGGTAGGTCTGTCTAAAGAGTGTACATGTGTCAATCTTAGTTGCATTTTTTTTTACTATATGTTTTACAACATGGCAAATCTCAGGCCAGGTATTCCAGCTTAGAAAAAAACTGTACACTGTTCACACAGGGCATAAGGAATGTGGGGTTAATAGTTGCCCAGCAGCTGATCTTTGCCTCAGGGACCCGCAGCAGGTTGATCCAGCCTGTCACTGCAATAGAAAGCCACCTGTGAACACAACTGAAAGGCTTAGGCTTAGCATTGTCTAACTTCCTTCTCTCAAATATTGTATACTTTTATTTTCTAATTAATCCAATAACATCGCAGAAGGAAAAGCACAGATATAAATAATACGATTAACAATAGGCAATTTCCATTCAGCTGCTACACTTTCAGGGGCCCGGTATTGCGCATGCTGGCTTGTTGTCACACTTACTGGGACACTTGAATAAAACAGAGCCATCATCAAAATGTCTTCAGTAACAAGTCCTGTTTTAAAGGTACATTTTCTTACAGAGTGGCTTCTTTCTGTATTATTAAAGAAAAATGGTTACATTATGTTTTAGTAGGGGTTCAATTAAGTATCGTAATGCTTCCAATACTCGAAGTTTGGCGCAGTATGTGAAGTCCTTGGCATTGTCTTTTTTTTTTTTTAGTGATGAAATGTGAATCTTTCTCACTTCTCCTGAAGGCGCGAGGACCAGACACACACAAGATGCGACGCTCATCCGCATGCCTGAATGGTCAAGCACTGGAGATCCAGCTTTCTTTTTTTTTTTTTGCAACCACACCCACTCCGGGTCCGGCACCGTCCATGCGTCCATGCCTCTGGGCGTGCGTTCGCAAAAACTCCGCCCCGCTCGCGCCGCCTCTAAGCGGACCGCAATGATTTAGAAGTTCAGGAATCCCACGTGACGTCACCCGGGGGTGACGTTATGCTTCTCTAAATAGATCGTATTGTAATCTTTTCTCAGTCCAACGTGGTTTCTTCTGAGAGACTGCTTCACATTTTCTACATTTGTTTGGTGAGTTGAAAAACCTTCCACCGCCATGCAGAGGACCGTGCATGCGCCTCTGCAGGTTTGTTGGCGTTTGTTAAAAAAAGCGATCCTTGTTACTTTTTCTCCTCCTTTTTTCTTTTTTTTTCCTCCTCTCTCTCTCATGCAACAGCTTGTTTTGTTGTTCGCTTCAGCAGCCTTGGTCAAGGTTTTTTATTTTTTATTTTTCTTCTTGTTCTCAACTTGTTTGTGGGTGCAAACTGGATGAGATAACGGGTCGGTTTAGTTTTGGTAGAGTAAGCGCATTGTCATCTCACTCCGGTGTCGTTGGTCTGTCTGTTGACTTGTTGGAAGTTGAACGCGGAGTCAAGTGCCGCTGCCGTCGCTGCTGCTGCTGCTGCTGCTGCTCGGTCTGTCAGGTAGCAGTGGTGACAAGTCTGCAGGAATTCATCATTCACATACACAATGGGTTATTGCAAAGGACGGATTTTTTTCACTGCACTTGGCACCAATTTGGCACGTCCTCCAGTTATTCTATTAGTCCTAAAGCCGCCAACGCCGGATCCCTGCACCATTGTCACGCCTGTCCCATCTCGGGATACGCAGGAGCCGGCGTTTGTCCCGGACTGTCTGCGTGCTGCGGTTCACCAGCGACCGTCTGGAAAATGATAGCTCGGTTGTTTGTTTGTTTGTTTGTATGATTGTTTGTTTTTTTGCTGGCATGCCAGCAAGAAAAGGAGAAGAGTGATGCTCCTGTTCCCGTGAAATTTACGTTCCCATTTGTCTCTAACAGTAATGTGACTAACATTACGTCATTCTGCAGGCCAGTCGATATTTGATTAAGCGCTGAGATGTTGAGGGTTACTTTCAGGAAGGTTGTGCTGACGAGGCTACACGGCTAGGAGAAAAAAGAAAGAGAGAAAAAAAGCAAGATGTTTTAATCATTTGATTACTCTCCGCTGTCATTCTGTTTATGTGACAACACTATCAATAACCTCTCGTTTGTCATGCACGCCGCTTTGGATCCATGTGCAGGCTTTCAGTTTTATTGTGTCCTTTTAATTGGCTGTGCTAATAACACTTGAAAATAAGGGGATTCATGTCTAATGATGAGTTTAGTAATTCTGATCATTTAGACTGAGATCGGCTTTTAGTATAATAATAATAATGAAAAAAAAAGCTTTTAAGAACAGGCCCCTATTGTACTACAATGGAAGAAAGTTACATTTTATGAAAGCAACAGTCTGAGAAAAAAGTTTGTAACATGGATACTCTTTTTCACATTTACCACTTCTTTGTTGCAAGAAAGAAAAAAATGTATTTTTTTGTTGTGACTTACAAATTACCCTAGAAATAATTCTTAATAATTAATAATCATAATAAATTATTTTTTCTTTTGAATCAAAATCTTACTATCAATAATATTCTACTGAGGTGAATCCAACTACTCTGGAAAATAAATAATACACATCAAAATATTGATAATTACATAATAATATAATACCAAACTTCAAAGACTGTAATATTCCACACTAAACTTACTGAATGACTTACTGTCATTCAGTAACCTTGATACAGATCCAATTCTTCATATTTTACACGATGTTCAGCTTGATTAAAATCCAGGCTCATTGCAGCAATAAAATGTGACCTTTATTTGTAGATGGTTGTTGCATATGCTCAAGGTGAAACATTTCTCTGGTAATAATTGTACTAATGTAGGAAGGGGTCAAATATCACAAATCACAACACAAATCAGTCCAATCAGAAGTTTGACCTCCAATGTTTTATTTAACCTTAAAAAAACAGATGCTTTATTACTTTATTATTTTGACTTGTACATTTTTAATACATATATATTCTGGGACTTTTTTTCCCTATTCCAGCCATGTTATAAAATATTTTGTGAGTAGAATAATGTGAGTGGTATTAGTGTCATGGTGGCCCTCTGAGGGGGCATTTTTGTATTTGTTATGAGTTTACATGTTGTGGAAGAGACCAGTAATTGATAGGTCTGGAGGTTTACATCACATCAGTCTTTCTGTCACGCATTCACTTCAAGAGCAGAAGTTCAGGGCAGACATTGTCTAAGAGGACCATGTTCCCTGCCTCAGGGTTCGCCGTGATCCTACCTTGAACTTGTGCTGTCAAAGGCCCAGGCTATGGGGAGCTGGAGATTTGAATTGCTGCTCATGTTTGTGCTTGCTTTAACCCCATATGCCTTTGCACCCCAACCCCTCTTTTCCTCACCATATTGTTTAAATTCTAATATGCGTTCTACCTGGAGAATTCCTCCCCAGTTCCTCTTGAAATCGAACGCCAGACCCTAATCCTTCCCCTCACACACATCAGGATATAGTTAATGTAAAGTGTAACCAAATTTCCTCTGCTAAACTAAAACATCTATATCAAATGAGAGCCAAGTGCCCCTTCCAAAGAAAGGGCCTTGAGTATTGATAATTTGAAGTGTGAAAGCTATTGGATAATTCACAGAGGCATTCACAAAATTAATGGTTAAAAGTTTTATGCGTCGTATGGTTTGAATTTCCTGGTAAACGTGATGCAACTAAGTCCCTTTTTAGAAACAGGAAAGTAAAAGTAAAGTTTTGCATCTGTTCAATAGTCATGGATACTCTTTTTCTCTTCTCTTTTAGTGCTTTCTGGGGATATCAGTTTTGTGATTTATTGTGAATTTTAGGTTTAAATGAGGGGATTTATAGTCATACAGATGTTCAGGAGGAAAAGCCTAAAAAGAACAGCAGCAATTGGTATTGGAGATAATAATGTGGCCTAAAATGTTGAATCAAGACATGAATAATCAGCGATGGACTTGTCAAAGCGCTGGCTCTACAGTAGTACTTGCCATCATTCTGGGTCTAGTTAGGATCAGCAGTGTTGGTCATGTTTGTTGTGTCAAAGGAAACCAGGTGAGTTTTTGGGGCCCTGTTAAAGAGACCGAGTGAACTGGTGACAGAAAGAGAGTCCAGGGCTCATTGCTCTCTGACAGAGAGACCCTGTCCAGACCCTGTTCTGCAGGCTTGGTCATGAAGTACAGCTTGTTAGAAAAACAGCACTGCTTAGCATAACACAATATTTGAGTGTTTTGACTATGCTTGAGGAAATAGTCTGTACCCATGAAAACGCCACACATGTACATAGTGTATGAAGGTATTCATGCTTGACACGTGACCCTTGGCATTGACTTGATCTCTGGATGCGTTTTAGTTTTTGTGAAATAATGATTGTCGTGGGTAAAAGAGTGATACATGTTGCGTTGTACGTGTCTGATAAATGAGAACTGTAGATGTTTCAGCCATTATCACGTTATAAACAAACCCCACACACTTAATCAGTTGTTATTCTCTTAACAGACCTCTTTGTTTTGATATGTTGTTGTTGCATTGTGTACTGTAGTTTCTGTGTCCCTAAATGTCTTCATTTAGCTTTACTTTTGTGGTATAGAGATGGACTGTTGCACCTACCAACTTCCATAATTCATCCAGGCACAATATAAATTGTTTGTAAAGGCTTAATTCACATACTGGAATACAAAATAAGTGTGTCCATGACTTGAGGTACCCTGGACATTTACATGCCCTCAGTGGTGCTTTGGTTTAAACTCCAGAGGGGCCAACGGGGTCATTCCTGTGAGGAGTTTGAATGTTCACTCCCTGTTTGCTTGTCCCATATGCCGAAAGACTTGCATGTTCAGTGTTAAGAATCTTCCTGCTATTGATCAAGGCACTGGTCTCGAAGCTGAAGATGGTCCCTGGGTGCTCCTAGAAGGGGATTAATAAAGACTAATTTAACACTTGTCATACTAACTTGACATTTGTCAGCAAGTGCTGGACATCTGTAGTACTGCCATGTGGTGGCTGCTCAGAGGTCGTCAGTGCTGAGGATAGTTTAGGCTGCTTTGTACTGGACAATGATCTTTGAAGTGAACGAGACCTTGATATAAGAATTATACTGTGACAGAGCAGCCAGCAATGACCATATATATTAGAGGCAAGGCCAAAGACTTATGTCCAAAGAATACTCAAATAATATTTTTTTCTTTACCACAATCACAATCTACAAGTCCTTTTCTCTCATTTAAATAAAAAGGTTAAACTTGGATCCATGTTTAATGGTGTGTTAATGCAAACACCCTAACAAGAATTGCTTAAATAAGATGCAATATACAATTACTGAAATAATGATTTGAAACAGGTTGGAGATGAGATCAAGTTTGTAGTGCCAGCTTTTAATGCGTGACAGCTTTAATACTCTTTACATGCACACTTCAGCCTGTATTCAAACGTATCCGGTTTCTATACCAGCTATACTTGTTGCCTTGTTGACTTTTTTCTGATAAAAAATGTTCTGCCTGCAGTAATAGATCAACTATTGTTATAGATACTCTTCACATGAACAATTATGTAAGCTGTTGTAAAACTTTATGGTTTAAATATTTAAATGTGATTGAGGCATCTAATGCAATGATTGATTAAAGTGCACATCAGAGCCTTTAAATGGCATCTCATTGCTCTTGGTTTGATCTTGAAAAGCTGATAAAATGTGCCTGTTACTACTGTTTTTTTTTCTCTCTGACATCCTATCATAAATATAGTTGGGCTGTTTTCAACATATGCATCCTCCTTATTGTTGTGCATGATTTAGTTTCCGTAAGTAAACAGAGGGACAGGGTTAGTCTTAGAGAATTTGTAGGCCCTTAATTTTTATGTGTCTCCGGTTTCATTTTATATTTTCCAACAGAGCACAGGTACAAGGCACTCCTCTGGGAAAGTTTGTCCTCTCTTTCACTCTAAATTATTAAAGCATCTAAAACGCCATTTTACATTTGACATGATGCATAGCCGTGGCTGTAGTGTACTGAGCAATTACTTACAAAGCACATATTTGGCAGTAGTTGCAGGAAACAAATATATTGTCTCCTATTTGTAAGATTTAAAACTAACTCATGTTTTAAAATTGTCATTTAGAAGAAATAAACTGAACCTTGTGTCTCTGCCACAACTTTCTTTTCTTGTTCTCACTATGCGATGTATAGCAACTGATTAACTTAATTAAATCTTGAAATGACTGCTATACAACTGAAACTTAAAAGTAGAACTTCAATGTTCAAAAAAGGTATTTGATGAGATTTACAGGAACTGCGTTCCATTTAAGGTTCAATGTGTTTCACTGCATAGGTAATTTACTGACGAGGGATTTTTCACATTATGACTGGTGAGTAGTTGTAGCTGCTAGATCAGCACCATATGTGCTAGACCAGATTCTGTCACTTTGTGGTGAGAATGAACATTTGATGAACTGTGGTTTCAACATGGTGGTGGTGTTTGACTGGAAATTTCTAATGTGGTTCATCATGTCACTGTATCATTGTTCGCATCCAAATTTAAGCTCAAACCCATCACAGTTGTCCCTGTTGTAAGCTTCACAGAGTGCTATAGCAATATTATTATTAGTTTTTGTTCATAAATGGCTTTAGAGCAGGTTGAAGTTAAGATTATATGTAATAAAAGCATAGTAATAAAATAATCTATTAGATGTTGGACTATTTAAATGCTTTTCCATTGTATGCAAGTTTTTGCTGAAGTTATTGATACCAGTGTTTCCAGTCTTTGAAAAACCCACAACCTTAGCCTGGATGTCATTTTATTGGATCCGAGATTACTGTAGTGTGAGAAACAGTTTCTTACTGAAAATGACCAGATTTTTTTAGGTGCAATAGCAATTTCACTCTGAGTGTATTTTTCCTCTTAGACGCTGGTGGGGAAACTCAAGTCATTCATTTCTACCTGCTTTTTTTGTGCGTGTGTGTTTTTGTAGTTTTATGAGAAGGCGGCCAGAGTGATGAACTCAGACCAGGAAAGGCCGTTCATGTGCAACGCTCCTGGCTGTTCTCAGGTGAGTGTGTTGAGACGGAACAACACAACATTGTGTGTACATGTGCATGTGTGTGAGTATGTCTGCCTGTAATATGAAGAGGTGTACATTGAGGAGGCCTGAAGAGTGGGTTACTGCCTCACACACATAAGGGAGAAACAGAATAGCATGGAACTGAGTGAAACACAAACTGTAAATAACGCTGGCGGTGTAAAAATACCCGTAGAAAAACATTCTCTTTGAAGTCAACACCAGAGTTGATGCTCTTATAGGAGGCAATCTTTAAATTTAGATTAACAGCGGATGTTATTTGGGTTAAAGCTTCAGTGCACAGGATTATTATTAGTTTTTTGTCTTTATACATACATACAACTCTTACAATCCTACTCTTTTAAAACAGCGATTCCCCACGGAGGACCATCTGATGATACATCGACACAAACATGAGATGACCCTTAAGTTCCCCTCCATAAAGAACGACAACATGTTATCAGGTGAGTTACGGCTACATCAGTACAGACTCACACACTACCTCAGCAGGGTTCTTGGAGAACTTGTAGTTCATCTGCAGGTGTGTGCCTTGGTGACTCATGCTCAGACACACTTGTCTGTCATCAGAAAACTTTATGGCGTCTCTATACCAGTTGTTTACAGTAATGTAAATCATATGACACATTGCATCTCAGCTCTTTTCAGTGCATACCACTTATACACCCTTCAGGAGGATACAGAGACGCTGACGTATGACTGGAGAAATCAGTATGTTAAGCTACATTTCTCTTCCCCGTTGCTTTGTATGATCGTCAGAGGTGTCATTACTCTTGATCTTACTGTAGAGGCAGTGGGAGGTGGTTTGCGCTGCGTTTATGGATGGTGGGGTGTACAAGACCCATGTGACATGCCGATGGGCACATTAATCTACTGTTCAAAGAAACACCAAATCATAGATTGTGTACTGCATAAACAAGTGTCAACCCAAGGCCAATCTATAAGTATAGATCTCCATTCCTAGAAACTGCCAGGCCACATTAGACAACAGTGTGAGCTGCTCAAGCCATGCCGCCGAGATTGTGTCTTCTTTATTATTTACGCTCAGCGGACAGCGGGATCGGATTTTCTAGGCCGGGTGTTCTTATCGCCTGTTGTCTGAGTTACAGTTCTGACCATTTCTCTTATTGAGACCTTGAAGTCAGGATAAAATAGTCAGTGCTTTTACTGGAAGTTACAGCTCAGCCATGTGTGGTACTATAAGTGTACCCTAAGTCACCAAAATAATCCACTCTTTATCTTTTAATAGTATAATTATTCACCTAAACTTAACGTCCTACTCTATTTGCCACTCTTTTCATTTACTCATAGGTGCACTATGCCAAACTTAAAAGTACTTGCTTTTTTATTAGTAGAACCTGTGACATTCTTAGCCAAAAGGGAAAAAAGTATATTTGTATTTTGGGTACACAGGTCATGATGAAAGTTTGAGTCAATCCCCGGTCTAGCCAGAATGGATAAACAGACCATGAAGTATGCTTTTAGCTTTTGAAACAAGCCTGATCCTAAAATCACCCTCAACTGTCTGAAACCTGATCCTTGTACATCCCCCACAACGTCAAGTTGAATGCCACGGCTTGACTCGGCTCGACAAATGAGACCCCAACTCTATAGGTTGTATCTGTACTTTATCAGCTGAAATGGGGCTGTCAAGCGTAGTATCTCCCTCTCACTAACAGAATAGAAGTTATTTTTTCCTAAAATCATTGCAAATATGTAACAACAATGTTCATTCTTTAACATTTAGTCTTTATGTAGATCTCCATTGTTTCCCATAAAGTGTTTAACTGTTTAACTGTGGTCCACATAAATAAATAATAGAATACGCAGCATTATGCTGAATCAATGGGGCTAGAAAGAACAAAACAAACCAAACATTAAGACCGGAGAACTGTAAATTAAAGGTTCGACTGTCAAAAATTATACAATAAAACCAAACAAACTGGCAGATCTTGTGATATTAGTACAAATATTTTGACATTATCTAAAATATGCTGTAACATTGCTTGCTAACATGGTGTGTGTAATGTACTGTTGTATTTCATTTTGTTTTGTGTCTTGTTTGCTTGTTTAGTGCCGTTTTATCATGTATATTGCAATTGTGACCTGTTAAGGGGCTTCAAATGAAAATTAGTTAACCTAACTCTGGCAGAATATATAAAATGGTAACATTTATGTTTAATATTATACATGATCCCTTACAAATACATGAAAAAATAATAGAATTAAAAGTAATTAAAAAAGCCTGACGATGTGTTATAGGATGTTGGTCCTTATTTTGCTCTTTTCCTCATGCCGTCCACCATCATGGTGTACTGTATGTACAGCTGGACGAATAAACACTACTAACATGTAGTTGATTTCAAAGCTAAAACTTGAAAAACCTTGATTTCCAGACCAGACGCCCACACCAACAAGATTCTTGAAGAACTGTGAGGAGGTGGGATTGTTCAGTGAACTGGACTGCTCTATCGAGCAGGAGTTCTGCAAAGCCCAAGAAGAAGAGGACAGTAAACAGGTACTGCAGAGTAGAGAACAAAGCCAAAGGCTGAAAAAAGACCTAGGTCAACCCAAAACCACAGCCTCCCACAATGGTTAGATCAGGTGGTTAGGAACTGTTATCTGGTGCTATCATCAGTCATGTCACTAAAAGCCAGCAACACGCTATGAGCAGGTACACACACTTTGAATAGATTCGATACACCTCATGTCACCCACTTTGCACACATACTTAAAAGCTGATAACCACAGGTATTTGTACACCTACACCAATATTTCTGCCATATTTTCTCCTTTTCTCCGAAGTGTAGTCATGTATTGCACATCCAGCCCTTGTCGTGCCCCAGACATCACGCGCCCCGATCCCCATCTGTCCTGTTGACAGTGACAGACAGGGCTAGCAGGTGGAGATTTATCACCCACCACAGGTGAGGAGAAAAGAGATCAGGTTCTCCACCTGTAACTTCAAACAGCTCTCCAGCCATCTCTCCGGGCAGGATTCCTATTTCTTCCTGGAACGTAAAGACAGACCCCTGAGACCACTTTTGTGGTTGCAATGAAAGACATTCTCACATGTGAGCAGAGTTGCAAAGCATTGGCATTTGACAAAAGACCTGCTAATTTATGCATTATAAATCTGCCCTGAGGCACCTTAACCTGAAACATGGGTTCTAGTCAAATCACCACAAGACAGACTGCTTATCTAATGTCTGGAAAGATGTCCATTGCACACTGTAGCTAAGCTGTCGTCTGGGTGGTTTGGCTCTGGAGCTCGTCTGTGCTCAGGTCAGCCTCGTCTAGCCTCTCCAGCCTGTGTGGTTTATGATGGGAGGCGCTGCTAAGTCAGCAGGAGGCGAGTCAGAGCAAGACTCTCTGGGAGTGCATAGGACAATAAGCATAGATAAGGAGGGAAAGCTTGAAACTTCAGGAAAACAGCAAATGACTAATATGAATATGAAATATTCATTTACAGACACTAATATAAAAGAAGAGAGAGTGATTTAGTTTATTGATAATTTTTCAATTTCCTCAACAATGGCATGTAATTTAGGATCAGTACCAGTTTGTCAGTAAAACTGTTTCTAAAATCTGTGACTTTATTATCTTTGTTGTATTTGATTATTGCCAGTGACTGTTTCACATTTGACTTAATGCAAATTACTTGCTGTTTGTTTTATGCTAAGATATGTGAGTCGAGCTTGGACATGTATTGTTACTTACAGTACAGGGTTATTTTGTATATGTGGTTACATGTAACAGAGGTAAAACAAAACAAACTGTCCTGCTGGGCAAATAACAACACATAAACCTGGTCTTCATTAGACCCTCAATGTTTCCCCAACTCAACTCAGAAAAACCCTGTAGATGATAGGTAGTTTACATAGTTCCTCATTACCTATTGAAGCTGGGTGAATGGAGCCTAAGGCCAAACAGTTGTAATTGCTTGAATTGCGTTGAAAATACATTGAAAGAAGGTTGTACTTCCTAATCTTCTATAATATGCTTGTTTTTCTCTCCCCTTCCTTGCTGCAGACCATCTCACTGCATGGCCAGGCAGGCCAAGGTCAGCACCAGCATTCCCACTCACGGATGGGCAACCACGATACCAGCATAGTGATCCAGCAGGCCTTGCCCTCTCCTCAGTCCAGCTCCGTCATCACTCAGGCTCCATCCACCAACAGACAGATAGGGTGAGTAGACCAAGACTTGGAACAGAAAGAGTGGGACGGATAGTTTTCTTTTTTTTTTCTTTTGCATCTTTGCATCTCTTTAAATTATGCAAACATCTTCTTTGTGTCCGAGTTGTTACAAACTGCTGACAGACAGATGATATTGGAACGTATCCTCTCACCTCAAATTATAGCGACAGCCTTAGGCTCTGCCTAGTCCCTTTGTGTCTGTGCTGATTGTCATCCCTCTCTAGTCTCTGAGGTAATGTCAGTGTTTTGTTACATTTGGAGCAGTGTGTGTAGAGCCGGCGATTCATGTTTTGCTGTTAATTCAGTATTGTCCCACAGCAGAACATGCCAAAGAGGGTCCCAGAGGACAAGATGAGGTCATGTTAAAGCCTCAGCCGTGACTGCTTTTACAACAGTTTAGCATTACATGCTCTAAAATAGTTCCTTTCACTGTATAGGAATGTCAGCCGCAACCTTAGAGCTCTGTTTCTCTGATACCTTTGCGCTGCCATGCTACAGGTGTAACAGCAAATATAGACAATATATTAACAGCAATCTGTGTTGCTTCAATATTTACTTGCAGCATTTAGTGGTCAAGGAATATGCATACTTCATGTGTAATGAGGCTGTGTGATTTTATAAACTCTACTAACCATCATGGGGCTATCAGCTCTTTGAGGGTAACATCTTTCTCTCTGCTGGTCTTTTGTCTTTATATATCAGTAACGTGATCGTTACCACATATAAACATTGATACACACGCTCTTCCTTATAAAGATGCTACACTGACCTCATTCATTCCTTGTCCCTTAACCCCAACCACCTTCAAACTTGTGCCAGGGCTTTGTTACTGTAAACCAGACCTGTGGCAGGCAAGTTAGACATTGAGATGGCTCAGTGTTATGTCTGTGCTGTGTGTCGAGGTTGTCCTGTGTAGATTTACAGCTTGAGGAGCTAGTGAATATTGAATGGGAGGCCCATCACTAAGCCTGACTGACACCCCGTCAGGTTCTTTGTCGAAGACAGGGTTGGAATTTCATCCTCTTGGAGGAGCAGCAATCACTGCCAGAAACAGAGACATTGCTGGGCCAGCTTCACCTGAGTTTACCTGTCATTAAAAACTCCTCACCTGCCCAAAGCACAGACTCACCACTTCACCTCTCTTCACAGTCCTTTACGATCAGATATCTCTGACTGATTTGTTGAGAGACTGGTGGTTTTACTGCTTGCACACAAAAAACACTTGAAAATCAGAGCTGGTATGCCATGTGATAGTGGTTCTGCCATGGAAAGGCACAAGTCTGAGTTATCAGTAGCACATTATTTGAGGCATCCCACAAGCAGCCCTTGTATGCGTGAAAACTACGGAGGCGTCTCTTGTTTACAAGGACAGTAGAATCCTAACACACGAATAGGATGAGTAGATTCACACGAGAGAAAACTGATCTGGAAATGTTTGCATCAGCAGGAAAATGGGTTGAGGAAACCCCAACACTGAGAAGCAGTGCTTCCACAGGAAGCCATTAGGGCCAACCAAAGGCTCAGCGTGCAGGGTCTCTCCACAGGAACTTCCTACACACAGAAAAAGCTGGACAATTCAGGTTTGATGTGCTTTGTCCAGTTTGGGACTTAGGGAGCCTACTGAAGGTCAGATCAGTGATTCCCCATGATACCTGTTATCCCATTAACCCACCCCATGTCTTTGTGAAGAAAAGAAAAAATAATTTAAATTTTAAATAAATTTTGTTTATAATCCACAGTTCATAAATTCTTTAATGTGCAAATGTTTATGCTTACTTTTAGACACAATAACCAGAGAGACAATTAGGAAACAGTTATCCTCATCAATAATGGATAATGGAAATGTTTGTATATGAGATTGCAGGCCTATAAAGCTTTTGATCTTGACACACTTTATGGAGCTCTGTGCTGAATATATCTCTGAATGGGAAGAAATCACCAAACAAAATCAGTTTAATCTCACGTCCATCTGCTTCCTTCGTTCTCGGCTCTGCCGAACGCACAGCGTGAGCATCCAATGAATTAGGATAACAAGTCATTTTCATTGCTCCACAATGTTTACTAAAGAGCTTTGAGGCTTGGAATCAATTAGGATTGGCTTTCCTCAAGTCCATTTACTTTAGGGTTGAGCTGGGCCTGCAGCTGTGAAACCTGAGGACCTCTCTCTCTCTCTTTTTCTCTCTCTCCTTCTACTCTGAGTCCCTAAACAAGGTCTTCGGGGAGCTGCACTGACACAAACCAGTGTTAAAACCAGGCATAAGAAACAGCCAGCAGATCTTAATGTCACGGCTATCATTATCATACAAAGGGAAGCGGTGTCCAACAGATTTGAATGCTTTCTGCTTTTCAATTATAAACATCTGGTGCTGAGTTATGTCAGAGTAAATTGCGTTGGACGTTACTAGTCAACCATGTGAGATACAACATTCTGTGGAAACTTCAACCTTTTGACTTGTAAGAGGAGATGTGCGGGTATGGGTGTGGGCACAAGGCATTAAAAATGACATTCTTTTATTCTGGCTCAGTAGAGGAATTCAGTCCAATTGTTTCCATTACATAGCACAATCAACCTGAGTGCAGCTGGGTTTAGTGAGGACTGATTACAGTTCATATGTGGTAAAATATCTTATCATCGATTTATGATGATGTACTTATCTTAAGTTTGGCAGTATATTACAACTGGTGATTTTATTAGATTGGGTCACTTTTATAATAGCTTAAATCAGTAATTCCTAAGAATAATTTACTGTGTGAACCAAAAAGGTGACAATCTCCAAACCACTGACTATTGATGTCAGTTGGTTTTGGTTTGTCACCATCTAAGCAAGACAATATTTCTCAAATATCTCTCAAATTTCCCAGGACTCAAAATATAAAAAAGTTCCTATTATTTTATTCTTATGCATGTATGACATAAAAAATTCTGTTAATTCAAAGTAGTAGTAGTAATACTTTTTGGCAGTTTGACATTTTCTTTAGCTTTAAATCTCTAAACTTAAATATGTCTTGTTGGTGGTATTTTCTCCCTGGTCATACTGTGTGCAACTTCATACTGTGCATCACATCACTGTGCAAAGCTCTGAAGGAAGTCAATTTGTGGTTTTGTTTCCCATGCTGCTTTAAATGAACAACATTTTTCACACCTCTGAGCCACCAGCCACTCGTGCTCCTTCTTTTTGCCTGTAAGGGAAGTAGCACAAATAGCATTGGTCTGCATACTTTCTAAACAGCAGGGTTTTATGCGAAGCCCGAGTGTAGGGTGATACATTTGCTACTAACTTGCTGTATTTTATCAAGAAGATTTGGTGATATGCTGATTGATTATTAAGGGCCACTGGGTACAAGATCTTATGGGACTGATACCTGCCAGTCTTAATATAGATCATCATATCAATCTAACCAGATATGATTTCTAGATAATGGCTTGTACTTTCACAAAAACCAAACGCTAATAGTCAAATCTGTAAAACAAATAAAATGCACATGCAAATGCCTCTGTGCATGGTCTGTCACATACAGTATATCTTGATCCTGATGTGATATTCAGTAGTTCTCTCCATTGCTTACATATTATTCTTTTGCTGTTACAGTGCAATGAATTAATAGTAACGTAACAGTGCTGATAGTTTTGATGATTTGATTGTAGGATGCATTGCATATCAGATTTTTTATTGATGACCTAACACTTTCCCATGCATGTGATAACGCAACTGTGCAGATTTCAACACCCATTGTGTCAGTGCCAGAACAGAGAGTCTCCACACCTCTACAGAGACGTATGGGCTTTCCATGGACACAATTTGACCTCATGAACTTCACAATTCAAACAAAACTTCCTTTATTATTGTTTATGATTAGATTGCATTCAGAAAGTGGTGATAAGGAGGGAGGTCCGTCATAAGTGCAGAAGTGCAAGACCGCTACAAAATGCCTAAGGTGCCCTCATGCTCTGACTTGACATGCCCTTCACCACAGGCCATTATGGGCAATAGTCATGTATAAACTGTAGGGCTAATGCACATAGAGTAGTGCCAGGTAAAGAGAAAAGAAGAACAAATAAACAAAGGTACAGAGAAACAACGGTATACAGTGTAATCAATTACAAAAAAAGGAAGGAGAGAAAAAGAAAGAGAGAGAATGCAGGATGTACATCTGACCTGAATTAAGATGAGCTCATTGTGTACTGCAGTGGGTTTAATAGTGCGTTTGTAGAGGAACGCCCAGACTCTGTTCCCTCTCATTCCAGCGGGGCTGTGTCATCCCTGCCCCGGGGCCACCACACATGCAGGCTCCTGCACAAGCAACTCACACACAGGGACATGCCTCACAGCTCTGGGGGAGCGCAGGGATCACAACGCGGGGAAGTGTGGAAAAGGGGGATCAGAGGTGGACAGGGGAGAGGAAGAAAGGGATCAGAGGTGGATGGAGGAGAGGAAGAGAGGGATAGGAGGTAGATGGAGGAGAGGAAATGAAGGATCAGGAGGGTGGAGGGGAGAGAGAGGAGATGCATGGGTTTTTCTACCAGGATTGTGGCTAGTCTGGTGGGGGAGAGAATAAAAGACATGTCTGCACAAGGAAAGGAAAGGATAGATCATGTTTGGATGGAAGTATGGATAAAATGGGATCAGAAGAATGAAGGTGTGGGAAAAATGCACTGGGAATGCACTTTCATAAAAAAGATGGAAAAGTGAACTAGAGGCAGAGGCACAAGACAGGCATCAGGTGGCTGGACAAGAGGAAGAGAAGTTGGTTAAGGAGGGGAGGGACAAAAACGCTGATAGATAGTTTTAGTTTTAGTAGATGAAGAGCGGGATGGATGAGTTTTCACTGAAAGTGAAAGTGTATGCCAAATGTTACAGAACCAGTCAGGTGCTGTTGACAGATTCCAGTTCAAGATGATACATTTGTTGCTGAAGAGGTTTTTTTTTTCTGATTCACTGGTGATAGGAATGTACTGACATGCTTTCTACTTTCGTTGAAAATGACAGACAACCCATCTTTGCTGTCCTCAGCCAATGGCATCTAATGAATCAAAACAATATCATATTTGAATAAATACCGCAACACTCATGGTAATTTGCTCCAGAGTATCATCCACCACCATTTCTCAACTGTGCTTTGGCATGGTTTAACTCAGTTTGAGGCTCCCTAATGTGAGGACACCCCATCCCAAATCCATCCCAGTGCAGCACCCTCCCAGCATCCATCCCTCCACTAGCCCGCTAATAAAAGTCAGCCTGTGTCGTAACCCATTAGGGCTGATTTATTTGATCAGATTCGTATTATTTCCTCAGTCCAAACCCCATGGCACTCTCCTCCCACCAGTGATTAAAGGCAGTAAATCAGGGGCAGGTCCTGTGTAGTGTTTACTCAGAGAGCCAGGCAGCTGCAAGCTGTTTGAGGCCCTTGTTTCTCCCTCTGTTTACCACCGTTCCCATGGCGACTGCACCACCGTCTCCCGAACGTCTGGAACTTGGCCCTGGGCTGTTTTGGTTACGTTCGAAAGTTTTTTAGCTGCTGTGTCTACCCAGAGCTCGCAGTGACTTCACCCAGCGAGAAGTGAGCGCAGCGATGTTGGACGAGTAGAGGAGGGAAAGAGAGGGAAAAGCGAGAGGAGGAGAGGAGGGAGGGACAAAATCTAGGGGTGGGCAGGCACAGGGTGGGGGGAGGGCGAAAAGCCAAGAGCATTACATCATTGCTGGAGCAGAGTCAGAAAGGGAAGGATATGAGTCAGTGGACTGACTGCACCTCTCTCTCCCTCTCTCTCCCTCTCTCTCCCTCTCTTGCTCTTCTTGGATGGCAGCCAAGCCCCTTGTGTTTAAGTCCCCAGTACTTGAGTTGGAGTTGGGACTGTGGGGATTGGGACAGTAAAGCTTAGTGTGTGTGCAGACTGCAGGATCTGGAGGTTAGAGCAAGCCAGTCCAGAGGGGCTCGAGTTGAGGTGTGGGCACCATGAGGGGTCCAGAAGAGAGTTATAGAGGATTAACCAAACAATGAACGGTTGTCAGTTCTGCTCCATCAGAGAGAGAAATAGCAGGATAACTCAGAGAAACAGACTGTGGAACAAGAGATAAAAAGCAAAAGAGGGACTGAGAGAGGGAAGAAGAAGGTCTAGCAGTGATGTCATGGTGGAGTGAAGGTGGGCGGGGGGGGCTGTGGTGGTGGTTCTTGGGCGGAGATTGTGGAGGAGAGCTGGGCTGAGAGCAAGGCACTCAGTAATGTGAGAGTGCAGGGTCAGGACTGCAGAGTGTCTACCTGCTCTCCCCTGGGGCCCACAGCCCAGGCTATTATCAATCCCCTCAGTGGAGCCACAGCCTGTCATTATTCACTCACATACATGCACACACACACATGTTCACACACAGTTTCATGAACATTCACACACTGGCACTTGCACTTACTCACACACAAACTCTCTGAACATGAATCCAGTAATCCACTATACTGTCTCACGCATATGTTTATGTATTCAAACAGATCTACAGAAAGCAGAAGATAACTAAGAAGACAAAACATGTTGTGTAAATTAGAATGCGTTTATCATATACCTATGTGGATAATGGAAATCCAATTCAGGCACCCAGATCAGCGCAAAGAAAAAAAAGTCTTTACTTAGTCAGCATATGAGTTGAATTACGTTGACTGGTTTCAATCTCACAGAGTCTTTATCAGGGCAGAAATAGTAAAAAGAAAAAGCAGAAGAAGTTGGTCTTTAATGTCTTTTAAATGTCTGACAATAGTGGAAATACCGACCACAAGTTTCCAGAACCCAATATAACATCTTCAAACTGCTTGTTTTGTCCAATCAACAGTTCAGAACCCCAAAACCTGCAATTCATCATCATATAAGACAAACTAAAGCAGGAAATCTTTATATTAGAGTGGTGTCCAGAACCAGCTAATTTTGGGGGGTTTTCTTTAACTGTTATTGTTTTGGTTATCACAATTGTTACCAAAGACATTTCAACAATTGATTAATCGACTAATCTTCCAACTCTTTTGTTATTGTAATGCATACAAACATATTTAGCATGTACACATCAACTGCTAACTTTCCTAATGACAATATCAGCACCTTAGAGCATTTAATTAATCAATTATTGATGACTGAGGTTTTTTTCTTCACCAATAAAGGATGTGGCAAACACTGGACTTTAAATAGTTACTTAAAATCACTTCCAGTACCCATTTTTAAAACATTTCTCATTTTACAGCTTCAGCTTAAAAATAAGGTCAGATTTTCCATAGAGGTTGCTGTGGCCCAGGACCATGTAACATTACTCTAAGTGTGAATTCAATCAGTAATGTACTGTATATAGCATGCACATGCTTATGATGGTGTATGAATATGCCTATAATGTACTGTATATATAACATATTATATGAAGGGCAACTTTTTAATGTGGTGTAAGTTATATGAAACAGTATATTGTGAATGAGCCAATTTCACTTTTTCTACCCCTTATTTTGGGCAAAGAAAGCTACAGTGCTAAATAAACCTCATGATGCAATCACCATACTGAATAAAAATCCAGCAAAACAGGTTTTATGCACAAAACCAGCGTGTCACTGACATTGCCTCGTGACTGTTATTTCATCCTCGTGGACGCTGGCAGAGTCTAAACGCAGAGGGGAACTGTGTTGATGTAGTGCGCAGCTACACTGCATACCTCATTGTACTTTCATGACTTTTCCCATGTGGAAATGTTTGGATTCGCAGTGTTGCTCAGATGTCATACGTGCTGTTAAATGAGTGTGATTTTGATAAATTGGGATGTTAGACAGGAATGACACACAGTCAGGATGGTAATGGTCCTGTGTGTGTGGAGCAATCTAAAATGTCTGGAGCGTAAATGCACATATTTAGGTCTGGAAAAATACAGGTATTTATTCAGGTGGGGGCCCATTTGGTCTGGTACACTCCCCCTGCCCTGGCCCCCCTAAATTTGGCCATCACTCCGTCACTACTCACTGTTACGGTAATCCAGGCTATGATGTGGTCAATTGATTACATTAACCCGTTGAACACAGCTAACCTAAAGGCTTCTTGTTTGCACTAATTCCTAAATGCTCAAGGAAATGGAGCTGTATTGACTGCCATTCATCCTGACGATACTGATAACTAGAGAATTATTGATTTTCCTTGAACAGGTTATTTAAGAATCAAGTGGTGACTGCTGTTTTTTAGGCTCTACTGAATAGTTGCTGTATGCATGTGAGGGTGGCTGCACCCTGCAGCTGGGAATCAGTGTTCTTACAGGCAGGGATTTGGTGGCAGTTGTATAAATGATGTCACTGCGTGCAGATGGAGTGGTCTGGTTGTTTGGATGGCTGCAGCCCTGAGCCAGTGACTGTGACAGGACTGTTGTCAGTAGTTTAGGCTTAGCCCAGGCCTCATCTATATGTGTGATTTATTGATGTGGCCGTGAGTGTGGATAGGCCTGTTGGTCCGCACACACTTTTGTGGTTACCATGGGAGATTTTTCCCCACAGGCCTTCCACCGCTGTAGCAGCTTCTAAATGTGATTCTCATAATGCACATCTCATGCGGTTGTTGTGACAAACATTATTCATTCATCATCACCATCGTCGTTATTCATCCATTGTACTACATGAAGTGTGCTTGTTTAAAGTGCATCCAAAAACTCCCAAGATGCCTCAACTTTCAACTGCAGCATGAATGAACAGCCGCACGCTCTCTTTTTTTTTCCATTGTGACTTTGCTGCTGCATAAACAAGTGGAAACTAAAACGAAAGAAGTTGGGGAAAACATTTGCTCTGAAGTAGCACAGATGTGAAATGGATAAATTTGTGACATTATTTAAAAGATGAAAGAGCAGTTTTCTTTAGTGATGTCATATTGTGGAACTGCAATAGTCCACAGGTTCTTCTCAGCTCTTTGTCAATAGCCTCTCCTCCAATCATGGTCCAGTATGACCATCACAACTTGAGGCAGTTGTTCCAATAAAAGTCAAAAAGACATTTGTGACAGAATTGATACTTCTTCTTTTATTGTTTTTTATTGATAATCAATAGCTCTTTGGGAACTTCAGTTTTAAACATTCATCAGTTAGTTCTGTAAAGGTGACTGAAGTCATTAATCCCTTTTATGTGATATCTATTATCCCATTTAGTTTCCTGTTATATGGTTTTCTCCACATATTCCTAACCTTTTATCTTGTGTTGTCTTGGTGTTTTTGATTAATTTCATAAATAACACATTTGTTTCCATTCAATTGTTACAGCACTGTGCCAACTTCTGTTAAACTTGGTTTTAATAACATAACATAGAAATAAATATGGTAGCACTTTATTTTAACCCCCTTCTCCAACCCTCCTTTAGCATTTACAAGCAGAAGCTAAACACAGAATGAAGAGTTTGTAACACAGCGTACTGTAGTTGTCAGCAGATGTAAGATATTATTAATGTATTTGTCAACAATTATAATGCCTCCAGTGAATACAGATAATCAGTGCTTGAATTAATATAACACAGATTGATTAATATGTAGTATTTATTAAGTACATTTATTTTTTACATGTACATGTGTTTACATTTTACATAACATTACCTATTATATCGATTATTTATTTATTTACTGTGACGGAGGCTACAAGATGTGGCTGAAAGCTCCGGAAGAACCTTAAATTACATTTTTGTTTAGGTTTTTTTTGTTAAACTGCTATTTTCAATCTTCATGCTTTTCCGATCTACCACATTTATAAACAGTTTTAAACCCGCCTGTGAATGATTTGTTTGTGTATGTAAACAGTTGGTGGTTGTGGTGGTAGTGGATGTTGTTATGTGATAAAGCAAAGAATAATCATATCAATTATCTATAACAGTGTGAAACCTGAGGTCCTCTCAACGTCTGTGTGTGTCTTCCCAGGCCTGTCCCCGGCTCTCTGTCCTCATTGCTGCACCTACGAAACAGACAGAGACAGCCTCTGCCAGCCTCCATGCCTGGAACTCTGCCAGACCCGACCATGCCTGGCTCCTCCGCTGTGCTGATGCCTGTGAGTACAACAACGGAGAGCACAGAGCACATTCACTCACGAGTGCACTCACACATGCGGGAGCAAAGTCACTCACTCACATGTGAAGACAGTTTACATTCAAACTATGTAGGTTTGCAGTTTGGGATGTTTTGTCACCATTGAAATGAGATACCACAGTTTATAAAGAGGTCATCTCCTATAGAAATGAAGGATTCTACCTTTAGACTTTATTGTAATTAAGCCAAAAAAGAATTAGAGGACCAACAATGGAAAGCAGGGAATAATAACAACCTAGAAAAAGCTCCTCATATCAGGATTCTAATGATACAACATGTGTTCTCATTGTAACATAAGACAGCCTGTGTTTATGGTATGGGAAAAAAAGCCTCCCATGTTTATTAAATTAAAAGCTAAGCGATTTAAGGGAAGATTGACGGTTCAGGAAAGGGGTGCAGGTTTGGGTGATATTTTTACACAAAACACACTTAGTGCAATTAAGGCTGTGTGTCAGGTTCTAGGCTTCAGTCTCTGTGGATGAGGAGGGGGCTGGGGTCAGGCAAGGGGGGGGCATTCCCCATGGAGACCACCAAACCAACCAGAGTTCAGCAGCTGGGAGGCCACAGCAGCTCACACACGTATGCACGCAGACGCTCACACAAAGGTTTCTTCTTTCGTTCATATACAGCTCAGTGCGGTGCATACTGCTCACATCATCATAATGCAAATCTACCCACATCTCGTCCACCTTATTAACACATTCTACACCAAGAGGGGCGGGGGTCTGATGTGCTGGTCTGAAGTCCTCATACTCACTGCACTATTATCAGAAACACACACACCCCTGTTGCACCGGCTTCCTGTGTTAAGTCCCTCCGTGCTGGCTTCCTGTTTTGGGTCAGCTCCAGTTATCATCACACAGAGCTGTGCACAGGGCAGCTTGTCATGTGAAATCAGGCTCTCATGCTCTCTCATCTCACCCACCATACCCTACTATACAGAAGAGTCTCACACTTTTAAATGCTAAAGCTTTTTTTGTGAAAGCAGTGAGAGAATCTTGTTGAGACATAAAATCTCCATAAATAGCAAAATAAACAATTTTCATCAATTCCTCTTGTATGAAAAAGTTTTGTCGTATGGGAATAATATGTTGCTTGTGAGTATGATGAGGCCTGGGCTAAGTATGTTATCTTGGTGTTGTAATCTTCAGATGGAGAGACAAATGTCCATGGGTTCCAATATGATGGGTATGCAAGGACCCACCCACAGCAGCTCCTGCTCTTCCACTCACATTCCCTCCATGCACTCAGAAGCCAAACTGGTGAGTATATGCATGTATTCACATGGATACATACACATTTATGCACACACATACACAAGTGCGCACACTCAAAGTGTTGCAACCTTTCTTTTCCACTGGGCTGTGCCAGCAAAGCTGTGCTCTTAGGTCTGTGTGGATTTCATCATTTGGTGTGTAATCAAAGCTGTGTCTGAACCTGCCAGTGCAGCACTGGAGACTCTGGCTGGAATAAAGGGCCCTTTATGTGGTTGTGGCTGGGCTGCCCACCAACTGCCTGATGTATATCTTAATGTACAGAACATGTTCTGTAGGTCCTGCAACTTGTTAGCACTAGTTTAACACACCAGGGAAAATATCAAATGACCTCATCCTTCACAAAGCAGGCAGTTAAAGCAGTGGGAATGAGACGTAGCTGCAAGTGGAGAGAGACAGAAAGGAGACGTTTTTAAAGTTAAATAAGTATAGAAGACTGGAAGATGAAAAAGCTGAAGAGAAACGTTCCACTCAGTCTGACTTTGCACGTTAGTATTGGTAGTACTAATGCCAGTGAATGACAGTATACCTTTGATTAATGTCGAATGGATGAAAAGTTACACTAGGTGATACGAATTGATAAATACTGTAGCAACATGACCACCAGCCAACCTTTGTTTTCAAAATAAATAACTCTGAAAATGTTAGAGGCTCCATATAAATAAGACCAAGTGTCATGACTTGGATATCAAAAAAAAAACACAAACCATTGGCTGCTCTTTATGTTTGGAAAGGTTCACTGATAGCTGAGTGTGCTGGAGAGAAACATCTTGTGGAGAGAGAGAGAGAGAGAGAGAGAGAGAGAGAGAGAGAGAGAGAGAGAGAGAGAGAGAGAGAGAAAGAGGAGGTAGCAGAGGTCATTAGAAGAGTTATTGCTCTGATAGAGGAGAGCGGGAGCATTCCCAGGGCATTTAATTCTCCCTCTTCCTCCTGCTCTCTCAAGATTGATCGTCTTTGTAGTCTTTTGAATCTCCTCAGCTGTTCCTATGGTAACACGCTGGGGGTAACACAATATTAGTGTATTAGGCTTATCTCTCCTCTGGCCGTCATCCAGACACATCTTACTCTCCCCCCCCCTATCTATGTAATTGAATTGTAAATGCTCTGTTAGGCCTCCCATAAACATATGCAGTCACTAAATGGCTACAGGCCCCTCGACCATGCAACTTTCTGGTTAGCTGGCCATTCAGACACGAGGCACAGGCAACCAAATGTGGATCAATTGAGATTCTGATCCCTGATGTCTGAATGCATCTGATGGAATTCCATGATTGTGGACAGAAAGTGAGAGACTAATTGTGTTATCAGGGTGCAATCTCCAGCGAGGGTTTCATAAGCATAGACGGGGTCTCTAATGTCTGTAATATCCTCGCCCGGGCCAGGTCGATAAATACGGCCTCGCTATCGGATAACTGGGCCATGATCAGGCCCATGTGTCCCTTGCGACGTTCTCAATCCGGCTCTAATCGCATTACCCCGACCATGTTGACTTTCCGCCAATGGGAAATCTCCGCACTGTAACCCCACACCCCCGAGGCACGGACCTGGATGCACTCTTTCTGCTCAACGTTTACATTGTGAGAGAGGAGAAGGGGATTGAGTGGGACTTTGATAGACATGAAGGAAATAGATAGACAGGCAGAGTAAGCAGGGGAGTTGAAAGGCGAGAGACCGTATTGATATTCTGAGACACCAAACAGTGACCGAGAGTGAGAAATTGGAAGAATTATTTGTGAGTGACATGAAAGGACTTCTGCTCAGCCTAGTTTCCTTTGCCCCTCTGTATTTGTACATGCATTCACGCCCATATGTGTGTGCTTGTGATGGTTTGATATTTTGTGGTAGGCCTCGGTAGCAGGATTAACCCTCCCCTGCCAGAGAAAGAATGCCCAGAGCCTGGGCTAATGAAGGCTAATTGATTTTGTGGTGGGCCAGAGCAGCAGGGAGGCCTGTCTCTGGTGTAAATAGTTAATGAGCCGAAGGACTGCTGTGGCCCCTTGGGGACTCATATCTCGCTCTAAGCTTTCTGTTTGTGCTCTCTGGGCCAAAGACTGTATCTGCATCAGTGCCCATCTTTGTTCTCTTCTATCTCTGATTTTCTCCTTAAGTGCCATCGTTTAAGTGGTACAGCAAAGCCCTATGGTGTAGTAACTGTCTTGTATGTTTTCCCTTATTGCTTTTAGCTTGTTGTCTGGGAGTGTTGCTGAGATTGGAGTGTTTTATTAGTTTTGGTTCAAGTGTTTTTCTTCTTGTGAAGGACTGGGTGATCCTGGTGCCGGGTGTGGTTGTGTTCTGCTCTGTTGTGGTCTAGGGAATAGAAGGGTGCGTGTTGTGTGCTGGAGGTTGTGGGATAGTTGACCCTCGCAGCGTAGAGGAAACGGTGCAGAGATGAGGCCAAGTTCCACAGCACGCCGGCCAAAGCATTACATCAATGCTCAAAGCCAGTTCTCCACAGGGCCTCGCGAACAGTCGCACACACACACACACACACTGACTGCTCCAACTCTGTGTCATCATCCTCACACGGTGTCACATACTTAGACAGCCACAGACATTCATACACATACTGACAGACAGGTCAGTGACAAATTAGATGTAAACACAAGCACAGAACACATGGATGAATATATATTGTATTTTAGTAAAAGTAAAATTACTCAAAATGTATTAAGATAAAAATTAAAAAGTAGTAAATGGATCTGGATTAAATTTTTTAAAAGGGAAGGGGGCAGAGGGAGGGTAAAGAAAAAAATGCATGATTTTATATGATAGAACTATTAAATTAAAGAACACATACAAAATAAAGTGCATTAACATTGTCAACATATGCAAACAAACAATATAGGCGGCCTGTGCATACCAATGATTATCAATTTCACAACTGCCATCCTCAGTGTAGCCTTACTAGAGTTAACCAGAAAAGAGGACAAAACTCAGTCAATTAAACAAAAATGACCAACAATAGATACAAAAAAAACACGTCATGGTGCGTGCAACAAGCAATATTAGGCTACAGAAGTTAAATAACCTGCCACTTGTTATAGAATTAGTAGCAGAATAAAACATCAGCAAGGCAGATAATACAGACATGTATAAACAATAGAAATTCCACAGCGCATGCAAACACACATGTTAAAGCAAAAAGAGCTGCACAGCACACACACACAAATAATGCTACGTTGCCTAACAATGCTCCTTCCTCTGGAGAGAGGGTTACAACCATAATGAGTTTACTGTTGTACTCCCCTGTCTGATCTTCATGCTGTGAGCCTTGGGTCCTCCACATTCTGCTCTAGGTTCAACTTCTTTGCTTGAGTGTAATATAAGCAGTCCACTCAACCTCTCTTGTCCCACTACGCTCCTCAAAGTTTAAACTTTAAGCTGAATGAACGTTCTGCAGTCACAACTGTGACAGAGGTTATTGTCAAAAACAGCAGACTTCACTGAAAGTAGCAGTTCCTGAAGGTAGCAGTAAATGCAAAGGTTACTGCTGGAGGCTGAACCATGAACGTGTTAGCATTTAGCCTGTTATGCAGACCCAGTGTGCACTGCCACATCATAAATGTTTTTGATTTGAGTCACTCATGCTCGCTGCGTGCTGCATTAAACCAGTGATTAATTAAGGTAGATGCAACCTTTCTTAACCAATGCCGAGTTACAATAATGCTAACCTTAACCAATGACATAATTTTTAATTATATTGCACTGTTGTAATGTTCACAAACTGCTGACAGTGAATGTAATTCACTATTTCCAGTCCTGACGTGGAGATACACATACACTACTACATAAACACACGTAAGCACACGTGCATGGTATTCTCCTTTGAAAACTTTTCTGTCCTGCTCAGATGGTTTGATATCTTTGTTTGTATGATGAAAGACATTCACTATCATTTCTCATCTGTTTTAAGGGAAGCCCAAACAAGCCCTTATCAAGCTGGTTCTAAATAACATCTGCCAGTGCCAACTATGGGGCATGACTCAGCTCATGTCAGTGCGACCCTTTTCACAGTGGTGGAATTCGACATTGTTGTTTTGTCCCTTTTTAAATGAGCTCCATGCTTTCCACACATCCCGCTCGCCTGCTAATTTCAGACAGAGGGGCCGGTGTATGAAAATGTGTTATTTATTATCTTCCAATTATCTATTGTTTACATTGTTACTAAGGACAATAAATTTGTCACTAAGCATCGGGCTAGGTGCTGAGTTTTTTATGAGGTAAACAATACTATATGTTCCTCCACTGCAGCTCACTTGGCTGTGGAGCTGGCACTAGATGGGTGGATGACATAATTCCTGGCATGCTCTAAATGTACTCCTTTTTACTTGAGGAGGGAAAAAAACAGTGCGCCTCTTAAAGAAACATTTCATAGGACACAGGAGGACCAATAATCAAAGTGTTTCTGTAGCTTTTTACACAACCCTTACTTATGTTTCAGTATAGTTACAGAATTGCATCAGGCGATTTGGGTTAATAGACTTAAAGATCAAGTTTTGCCATGAACAGCAAACAAGTGCAAAATTAGAAAGTTGCATGCTTATACTTTTCAGAAATTCCAAGAAAAGAAAACTTGTGAAGCAGCCACTGATTTGTCAGTTTTCAGCTCTGCTACATGGTGATTGATTGAGCGATTAGCTCAGTATGAAGTCATTTGTAAGCAGTTAAACCATTAGCGTACATGGTAACCCTATTACGTGTTCCATTCATTTTCCTCCACCGTAGTAGGGGAGCACCTCTGGCTATACCGCTTGTTGTGAGGAGGAGCAGCACGCACAATAGGAGTCTAACTCCAGGTTTTGTAAGCAATCTGTATGAATGGTGGCATTGTCAGAGTATGATGTCATTGGAGAGGGACGGTGAGCTAAGAGCACAGCTGAATCTGTAGGCTGCTCTACTGAGCTCTAGCATATGTGCATGTGTACTGTATATGTGTATATGTGTATGTATATGCGTGCTCATGATTGTGTGTGCGAATGGCTCAGTTT